GGTCGCACATCAGGAGTGTCTTGGTTCCTCACATCTGGTTCCTGCCTTCCTTTATAAATAGTTCACTGGGAAATGGGCTGATACAGCGGGGGAGGCAACATTTTCATGTGCCGCTTGGTTGCTGCCTGTTGCCTTGTAACAGAGGTTCCCTCTCCTTGACCCCACCGAGGCCTGCAGCTGCAGGCCCTCCTGGGAGACTTGTGCCAAATGCTGAATGATAAGGGAGGGTCAGAACAATGAGGAAGGTGTTCCAAACAGCCTTCAGGGAGTGTTCGGGCAGTACTGGCTTCCCACTCGTAAGGTCACCCTCCAGCACGGGCACCTGCCAAGGCTAGCGGTGCCGGAGGCTCCTGGGAGTTCATCTCCCAGAGCAATGGCATTTTCCAGTCAGAGCAATCTTTATTGCGTTGTCGTTTTATCCTTTGCATTGTTGAGGGTTCAGGTCTTTGTGGAGATGAAGAATTTATAGCTGTTGGGAAGTTTATTCTTTTCATGGAAGCCTCCCCCTCCCTCAGCCAGGAAGGAAATGCCTCACAAAACAAGGCTGTGAGCTTGGGTTTTTTATAAATGCAGTCCTAGAAGGTGGAGGAGGGGGTATCCCCTGGCTTTCTGGGAGGGGTCAGGGAGCTACTTCCATTCAGTCAGAGACCTTTGGGACCAGCCTGTCTGAATGGCAGTCCTGCCCAGACCAACAGGGGCAGCAAAGCGAAATACAGGCTGAGTAACCTCTGGGGTAACAACTTCTCCAGAGGCCAGTTATTAGAAAGTGCAAGGGGAGGGGCTGCCACTCCCAAAGAGGTTTAAAAAACTGAAACTCTAAATTATTTTTCTAAGCATCATAATTTAGATAAGAGAGCTGAGAGATTCCCAGCATTCCATGATACCTTTCACCTTTGTTCTCCTCCAGCCAAGGTTCCATCTTCACTGCCTTTGTCACATCTAATGGTCTCCATCTTGGTCACAACTCGTTGACATTTATGCAAACCCTGCTGCTTACTGCAGTTCATTTTCCATCCATTTTTCTGAGAGATGGGAAAAACCAGTATGTTAGGAAATAAAGTGCACCCGTAAGCACAAGTGCAGAAGCCAAGCTGAGCCCCTTGGCCCCCATCCGTCCCTCTCACGGCCATCTCAGCCAGCAGGAAGTGCTTCTGCGGCTGCAGCTGGCTCCTGTGCTCAGCTCGGGCCTGGGAGGGCAGCCTGGGTCATCAGTGTATGAGGTAAGAGGAGGTCACTGTCCAGAAACAGGGAACTGCCTGTGTGTGTGCTCCGACCTGTCACCCTTCTAAGGGCAGAAGCATGTCAGGGCTGGGGGCGACAGTCCGTTGTTGAAACCCCCAGGCCTGTTAAGCCACACATCCCCGTGTGTGTGTGAGAGAGAGACATACCTGGCATAAAATGTCATAAACAGCCCTGTTTATAGAATAACTGCATTCCAGGCAAGTTGACAGTTGAGTTTTTTTAAATCATGTCTTTGCCCAGAGAACTTCAGTTCGTAAAAGATTCCTGCAAACGATCCATTTAAGCAAGAACCATCTCTCCCTGATGTTTTCAGTGAGGGTTTCGTATTGCTGAGTGTGAATTGGGTTTTCTTAAGATGAACATCTGCCACGACAAATCTCCTCATGCTCTGAAGACAGAAGATGGTATTGCCGCGGAAAAATTTTAGTCAGAAAATGATATATGCCTTCATGGGAATGTAGCTACAAAAATGCCATCTTGTTGAGGATTTTTCTAGTAGGTGAGATTTTGTTCAGTGTGGGTCTTGAGAAGTGCCGTGAGCTCACAGATATTTAGAGCCTGCCCCCTTTTCATCCCAAGTCCTTTTTCTCCCTCCTTCCTCTTTAAATTCCCTTCGTCTTGCCACTCTGTCAGGCGCTTGCTCCTCCTGTCCTGCTCCCTCCCCCTTCTTCTCTGGCCAGGCCTAGTGCACTGACCCTCGTCAGAGGCTGGTGGTCAGCCTGGAGGACAGTGTTTTTCCAGCAGAATAGCTGGAATTCCTGGGCAGAATTCTGCTGTGGTTTTGTTTTGTTTAAGCGTGGTTCATTGTCTTCAGTCTCTCTTGTTTCTGAATATGGTATTCTTAAATCCTTGTGGCTGGTGGAGCTTGAGATGCCTAGCCTCCTCACCGCCATCCTCAGGGGTCCTGATGACACCAAAGATTCAGTCTGAGTTGAAAAAGGGGAAACACAGGTCCCACTGTTTGGGGCGTCATTTGAAAGTGAGAGCCTGGTTAAGAATTTGTGATCCCTGTTAGGCCAACTGTGTGGGACTCCAGCCTGTGCTGAGAGGCATTTTACCATCTCAAAGGCAGGCTGATCACTGGAAGTGCAGCCAGTCCGGCTGGAAGGGAAGACAGGGGGAATCCAGCCCCGTCTCTGGGCGGCACTCTTCTCCGACTTCAGCTGCTCTAACTTCTGAATCTTCTGGCGCCTTCTTCAAACACAGGGTCCTATTTTTAGTGCTGGGCTGTCATTTTTGATGTGCTGTTGTTGCCAAAAAAAAAAAAGTCAGTGGCAGCTGCAAAAGAAATCTTGGTTTAAAGGCCCTGTTTATAATGCAGTTGGAACTTGTTTACCAAATAAGAGAGACTGGAATGTCACGGTGGATCAGCCGCTGGCTCATCAAATGGAAGAGCCTTGAGCTTGTTCAGTCCATGCTGTCCTGCCCACATCTGGCCACGTGCAGCGCGTGTGCCTGTTCTGTGCCACAGTCAGCTCCCTGCAGAGGAAGGGCTCCCTAACCGTAGGAAAGTCTCCGAGGAGTTGCAGGCCCAGGTAGTAGCTCACATCCTCCATGTCACAAACCAGCCCCGGGTATTCAGATCCATCTGAACCTAAACCAGTATATATATATACCTAAACCAGTATAAATACTGGTCTGTTTACAGTGTTTATATATAATTTATTTACAAACTTAGACATGTGACAGGTGGTGATGAGCCTGTTGGTATAACACAGATAGGAATGGCACCTGGGGTCGAGACCCTTGGTCGCGTCCACTCCATCCATCCGTGGTTTGTTTTAGTTTGCCCCATCTTCAGAAAACTGGTAAAGCAGACAGGATTTCTTTGTCCCTCCAAGGGAGATGGGGTCTCTATGTCACATTTTTGTCCTTTGCTGTGTGTGGTCCTAGGAGTTAAGCCATGGCCAGGTCAAGACAGTTGGAGTAGGAATGCTGTCTGTCCTGAGGGGTGTCTGGAGAGGACACACTGCTGAGTCCCCAGTTCCCCACTTCAGCTGTCTGGGTGCTAGGAGACCCCTGGGTTCACAGGGGAGCTGGGCCCCGCCTTCTTGGAAAGGGAGCAGCTGGGGGCCTGTCCTGCAGCCGCCCAGTAATTCTCAGTTCCAAACTGTTACCCTGTGTGTTCTTTGTTTTGTTCCTTGGAATCAGTGTTAAATTCGGGAGACTGACCCATCGCACCGCATTTAGCTGTGTAGCATTTATTGTGGTTGCCGTATAGTGTTCACACTGTGATCGGTTGATGGGGTTGGTGGTTCACGCCAGCTGGGCTGCTCCAGCTCAGGGCTGTGACGAGCACACATCTCTCTGTGCTCCATAGGCACCTCTGCTCCAGGGGCACCTCCAGGCACACGTCTGCACCCAGGTTGCTGGGAGGAAGGATGGGAACGTCTTCCACCAGCAGTGGGTCTCATTTTTGCAGTCACTTGGACTGCCTGTGAGGTTGGGCACTTTTCATGAGTTACTGGCCTTTGGTCTTCACCTTTTGTGAATGGCCTACTGCTGTGTTTTCCCAGTTTTCATACTGAGGCATCTGACTGATTTGTAGGAATGCCAGGAGTTTGTAGGGGTGAGGCTGTATTTAAAGAAGAATTGCCCCAGGACTAGAGCTGCAGCGTCAGGCTCAAGCTTCTCCTTCCTTCTCTGTATTGTAGACACCTTTCCTGCCGTGTCTCTCTCCCACCCTCATGCCTTCCTGTCCTCTGCCGAAGAGCGTCGTCCTGGCCGGGGTTGTCCCCCACAACCTGCCACTGTCCTTCCCTCTGGACAGTGGTTCACATGCCGTAGCAGGTCTCCTCTCCTAACTGACCCCCTCTGCTACTCATGCTCCTCCCCACCCCCATCATGTATCAGGACTTGGGAGTGGGGAGGTGCAGCAGCTGCCGTGAGGTGGTCCTGGGGATTCCTGCCCTGTATTCTTTCCCTTTGCATAGTTCCTGCTTTGTCCTTGGCTGCCTCCCTGCAGAGCGTCCCCTGCCCGCGGCAGCTGCCTGCCTCAGGACCAAACTGGGCACACAAGTCCCTCCACAGTCTGCTCATCCTTTTTTTTTTTTTGGCTTTCTCGACATTCTTAGTCCAGGATCTGGACTTGTTACAGAGATTCTAAGATCCATGAAGGCAGGGATGGTATGATGCACTCTCACTGTCTCAGTATTGATTAGTTCTTGTGGATTGAAATGTATGACTTTAGGGGGAGAAAAGAGGCTGGACAGTAATGCTCATCTCTGTGTTTGTGTTGCCCCATCTGTTGTTGTCTCTTACTGTGAAAAAAGATGACAATAGAACACTCGCTTTGTGGCTCCTGAATCTGCATTTGGGCTGGGCTTGTCGAGATGGCTCTCATAGATGGAGCTGCCGTGAGAGAGTGGCTTGGTGGGGTCCGGGGCTCCATTTCCAGGATGGCCCACGCACACGGTAGCCGGGGTTGCTGGCTCTGTGCTGGGATGTCTGCCACACACAGCTTCTCCCAGTGGTCTCATCTCAAGGCTGCTTGGGCTTCCTCACAGCATAGCATCTGGTTCCAAGGTGTGTTCCAAGGAATCGGAAGCTGCCCTCAGGGCCTGGGCCCACACGCTGGTGCAGCATCATTTCCGCTGTATTCTGTTGGTCAGAGGTGTCACAGAGCCCACCCAGATTCAATGGGGGCAGCGTGTGTGGTCCCCTTCCTCTCAGGGTGGGGGGGGGGGCGTGCCAGAGAATCTGTGGCCTTTGGCTTCCGCCACGTGGTCCTCATGCTAACCATCTCCTCCTCCCTGTAGCCCTGACGGCCGCTGCTGGACGAGGCAAGCTGGAGGTCTGTGAGCTGCTGCTGGAGCGTGGGGCTGCCGTGTCTCGGACTAACAGGAGAGGGGTCCCTCCACTGTTCTGCGCGGCACGCCAGGGGCATTGGCAGGTACCCAGGGGACCCCAGAGGCTTCAGAAGCAGTGGTTGGGAAAAGTGCCCATCGCCCCTGCTGGACCGCCTTTCTCACATTCTTGGCTTCTACTTGGACTGGGAGTCCTGCGGCATCAGGGCAGACACCTGACCGGCCAGCATAGGCATTCGTGCGGGCTGGTGACCAGGTCAGAGACCCATAACCACCTCCTTTTGACTGAGGAGGGGAGTGGAGCTGAGGGGAAGCCCGTCATGTCATCAGGAGATTTGCAGTAACAGTTGTTGGCATGACACTATGACCCATTTGTTCAGTGTACTTGGGAGAGGAGTGGTCCTGCTGTACTCTTTGGGAAAGGAAGTGTCTCCCTCTGGTCCTGCAGTGAGATTCAGGCTGCTTTCTTTTACTGGGAGTGATGTGCTGCTGCTCTTAATTAAGGGATCCCTGAGAGCAGTGGTTTAGTCTTGCGTTCCTTCATTTTGTAAACACTTGACCATGTATCTACCCCATGCCTGGCACCAGGTTACACACAGCTGCATAAAAACAAACCGCTCTCACCACATCCTTTATGGGAAGAATTTTCTAGACCCAGGTTTACATCGTGGAGTCGCGACCGTTCTGATTCCTGCCAGCTCTGTCAGTAGGAGCCTTGAGGGCACCCCACCAAGGTTTTGGCTTTTTTCCTTTCCGGTTCTAAAAGCTTGGTTTGCACCGCCCATTCCCTGGTACTCTCTCAGCTCCCTGTGATGTCCTGGCTAATCCTCTCTCCTGGTCTTAGCGTCCCCTAAGTGGTGAGGAGGCTTGGAAGCGTTTGCTAGTGTGTCCAGAATGAGAAAGCAGTGGGAATTCGCCCCCTTCTGTGTGGTGGCATTAAAACAAATGTGGTCCTGGAGGGAGAGAAGCTGGAATGCTGCCCCCTAGGCAGAGCAGTTCCCGCGGGGAGGGTCATTGTAGGAGATGCTTGTCTGGTTTTTTTGGTCCCCCTTTCACCATGTACTGTTTAAAGGCATAACTTTGAGGCAGAGACTCTTGACCAGGACGCCTTGGTAAAATTCCCCTGGTGTGAGGGTCCAGCTGTCCCTGGGGAGAGGGTAGGTGTTTCCCCAAGAACTTGGCATCAGTACCCTGTGGGGCCCTGGCTCACTCCATTTAGTTCTGCTCAGCTGCTCCATAGTGGCTGTCCTGTCATTGCCTGACTGTGCTCAGGATCCCCCTCTCCTTCAAATTGCTGCCTTGTGTGTGCCTATTTTGTAGATAGAGTAATGAATTGGGCATGTTAAAAAGAGCATATATTTGAAAGAAGAGTCTGTTCAAAGAAATGAAATATAAAGATTTTACAAGCCCCATGGATCACATAACTTAAAGGGGTTTTTGAAAAGAAGAGAGTCCTTTCATTCCTCTTAGAGGTGGAACAACGACTCCAGCAGAGAGCATGTCATTTCAGATGCAGTGGCAAGTGTGTGATCCCGAGTATTTCTTTTAGATTGTTAGGTTGCTGTTGGACCACGGCTGTGACGTGAACCTAAGTGACAAGCAGGGCCGGACACCCCTCATGGTGGCTGCTTGCGAAGGGCACCTGAGCACCGTGGAATTTCTCCTTTCAAAAGGTAGTGGCACTGTCCCCCTTGAGGGCTTCTCTTGAGTGGACAAAGAAAAGAGCTTTGGCAGTCCCATTTAGTACTTTCTGATTCAGTTTTTTAAAAAAATCTCTTTATTAAGTCTTTTTGTTATGGACGTTTTCTGCCTTGCACACAAGCAGAGGGTTTAGGGGTGCGTCCCATGTACCCATTTCTCATCTACAGCAGGGACGATTGTTTCACCCATCAGCTTCAGATTTCACCAGCCTGATGGCCACATTCTGCAAGCCAGGCCCCACAGATGCGGAAGGGTTTGCTCTGGTCTGGCCTTTCCGAAGTCACATTTATTGAATGGGCTTCTCTTTCAGGTGCCACCCTTTCTTCTCTGGACAAGGAGGGTCTGTCGGCATTAAGCTGGGCGTGTCTGAAAGGTCACAGGGCTGTTGTCCAGTTCCTAGTGGAGGAGGGAGCTGAGATCGACCAGACGGACAAGAACGGCCGCAGCCCCCTGGACCTGGCCGCCTTCTACGGCGACGCGGAGACCGTAGGTACCGCGGTGGCCATGCTCCCCACCCGCACCAGGCGGGCCAGGCTGCCTACTGATCTGGGATCCGAGCCATCCCCAAGTGTGTGTGATGCTGGCCCAGTGTGGCTGGGGTGTATGTGTGTGCTGTGGGGTGGCTTTCGTTTTCTGCTAGTTCTGTGACATGTGGTCTGTTTCAGAACTGGAGTAAAGATTTTGATAGAATCTTAAAAGCTTAAAATTCCATGATGACAAACTGCCCACACATACACAGATGCAACACACATCTATGAGTATGTGTACGCACATGCATATGTAGTTTTATTTTCTTATAATTTTCATAGAAATAGAATTCCTATATAGTTCATTTAAAAATCAGTTTTATATATGTGAGAAATTACTGGTCAAATAATTAGTTGGTTTGCTTTTAAATCAATGCAGCTTTGTCTTGAAATAATATAAAATGTTTTGGCCACTGTTTTTATCTCTTTGTCAAATGCCTGAGTCCCTAACTGAGGAATGAAGGGATAAAACCTTAATAAACGAAGAACCACAAAATGTCTTTCAGTGAAAAAACTGCATCTTTGTCAGTCTCTACATCCCATGCACCAAGCAGGTGTTGGAGGAATGTTCAGCTCCTTGAGAATGATCACTTATGAATAGTTACGTGTGTCTAACATGAGAATTAGTCAGGCAGACAGGTGTTGCTGGGAGCTGTGGACCTTGGGGCAGAAGCCATCCCTACCCTTGCACATCTGTGCCTGATGCTTTTAAAAGGCAGTAATATTAGAATTAAATGGTCACACTTTCCTGGACATTATAAATTGTACATAAGTGTTGATTTTCAAAGACAGCTATTTAACTAAACCTCACATCTCCACACTTTTCTTTCTGCTTTTGTTACTTTACCAGACCCTCTAGTTTAGCACCATTAGGGAACAGTGAAGGAGCTTAGTCTTCTACCATTAAAAAAAAATTGGGTATAGACCCCTGACCTAAAATTTACCATTGTACCCATTCCTAAGTGAGGACTTCAGTAGTGTTACGTACACTTCACGTTGTTGTGCAGCCAAAGCCCAGGCTCTTTTTGTATCTTGTAAAACTGAAGCTGCACCCACTAAACAGTACGTCCTTGTTACCACCCCTCACTCCCAGCTTCCGGCAGCCATCTTTCTATCAATACTTCTGTTTCTCTGAATGACAACTTTTGGTCCTTCATACAAGTGGAATCATACAATATTTGTCTTTTTGGGACTGACTTATTTCACTCAGCATTATGTCTTCTAGGTTTGTCCATGTCATAGCATGTGTCAGGATGCCCTTCAGGCTGAGTAATATTCCATTTATGTATTTACTTCATTGTGTTAATCCACTCATCCACTCAGTGGGCACGTGCATTGCTTCTACCTCTTGGCTGTTATGAATAGTGCTGTTATGAACATGGGTATGCAAATATTTCATCGAGATCTTGCAAATTCTTGGAGATCTATCCATTCTCTTGAATAGATACCCGGAAGTAAGATTGCTGAATCAAGTGGTAATACTATTCTTAATTTCTTGAGGAACCTTCATACTATGTCCATAGTGGTTACATCCTATCAGCAATGTACATGTGTACCTGTTTCTCATATCCTCTCTTAACACTTATTTTCTGTTTTACTCTGTTTTTTTTTAACAGTAGCCATCCTAATAGTTAATAACTTGTTTTGTGTCTTTGATTTGCAGTTCCCTAGTGATGAACATTTTCTCACATGTTTATTGGCCATTTGTATGTCATCTTTGGAAAAATGTCTGTTCAGATACTTTGCCTATTTTTTCAGTTTTATTGAAGTATAGTTGATTTACAGTGTGCTAATTTCTGTGCAGAATGACTCAGTTATATATATACACATACATACATATATATATATATATATATATATACTTTTTAGTATTCTGTCCATTATGGCTTATCACAGCTTTGCCTATTTTTAAATTGGGTTATTTGAGGCTTTTGTTGTTGAGTTGTTGGAGTTCTTTACATATCCTGGATATTAATCCCTCTAGTGTTAGTTTGTGAACAGCTGGTATACTGATAAGATGTATCAGATCCACATGAAAATCTAAGTAATCTATAGATTTTTCCAGTGAGTAGAGTAGTTTTACTGGCCAAGTGACAGCTGTTTTGTCATATCAAGTCAGTCTTGGTAGCATGGTCTTAAGCTTTCCATCTTTATAGTCCCTATATTCAATCTCTTTCCTATGCCTTAAAAGTGAATTATAATTGGGTCTGGCAGATCCCAGCCTTTGCAGGCTCTGTATCCAGGCTGTGTGGATCTGAGTATTTCTGGAGTGCCTATTGCCATAACCTGGTAGCACATTGGAGCTATGGCAGAAGCCTGTGTCCTAATAAGTAACTGGAGATGAAAAAGTGACTGTCTCTCATCTCTGTGGCATGGGAAGTAGGGTGAGGAAGGCAGGTGAAGGCGTGCATGCACCTGTCTGTGGTATGGGTGCGCGGACACACTCCCCACTTCCTTCCGGAGCATCTACCTGCCTTCCTCACTGCCAACATCCAAATCACTTTAGCAGGCAGGTTTGAGCTGTGAGTTGCAATTTCTCTGCTTTGTCCTGTGTCAACTTTATTTCCATTCTAGGATCCCATTAGGCCAGCTGCGGCATCGGGTGAGGCGAGGGCCGCTCTGCCTGTGCCCTCAGGCCTGTGCTCCCTCTCTGCAGGTGCTGTATCTGGTGGACAAGGGGGCTGTGATTGAGCACGTGGACCACAGCGGTATGCGGCCCTTGGACAGAGCCATCGGCTGTCGGAACACATCTGTAGTGGTCACGCTGCTGAGGAAAGGAGCCAAATTAGGTCAGTGAGCGCCTCAGCACAGCAACAACAGGAAGGGTAGCTTCAGATTTTAGAGGATGTGAGGGACTGTATTCTGGGGGGCTCCGTGGGGAGGGGCTAAGGGTGGGTGGGCAAGAGCTGGCGGGTGGTTGTTATGAGCAGGCGAGTGTGAGGACCACTGTTTGGGAGGCGGTGTCTAGTCTGCTAGGAAGGGCAGTGGCAACCCCAGCACACGTTCTGGGAGAGAAAGTTCTCAGGACTTACAGAGACAAGATGGGCGACTTCAGGATATCGAGGGTGAGAGCTCTGAGAGGTAGGGCCATGGCACACAGTTCGGAGTGTGGGGAAGGGCACCCAGACAGCACTGGCTTTTTCTGGTTTCATGTCAGACCTCTGGCTGCCAGCAGTTCTGGGGAAGGGACTGCTACGAAGGTGAGAATATCACTAAGCAGCCCATGGTATCGGGAGCTATTGTGAGCACTTTCCTCTTTTACCTGATTTCATCGTCACCTACCCTGTGAGCGGGGAATGAGAATAGCATCACGTCACAGAGGAGGAACCCAGCTGAAGGAGGTGAATAGCTCCCCTGAGGTCCTGCTGAGCGGCAGGTCACTGTGAACCTGAGTCTGACTCCTTAAGCGCCGCTGCCTGTGCGTGTTGGGAAGAGGCTTAGACAGAGCTTGTGGCCGCGCTGGCCGCTGGGGGAGAGAAGGGGACACGGGCAGAGGCAGGGAGGCAGAGTGCAACAGGGCCAGGGCGCGCGGCTCAGAGCGGACTTGGTTGTGACTCTTGAGTCGAGCGTGAGAGAGCCTGTGAACGCTGGCCTGCCTTCACCTGTCTGTGGTCCTGACAGCACCGCAGGGAGCTAGGGAGATGATTTGGAAGCAGATCTCCACAGGAGGGAGGGTGGCTCGAGGCCCCACTGATGCCTTCGTGTCCCAGTACTTTTTTCCACCGCAGTGACGGTGTGTGGGGGTGCAGCTCCCCGCTAATAAGCATTCTCTTCTCATCATTGTATGGTTGTCCAGGGTCTGCAGGATGCTGCAGGGTGCTCTGAGGCTGGGTGCTCTGCTGTGTATAGGCTTAGCTGTGGTGTGTTAAAGTATGGAACTCCTTGCCTCCAGGCCCGCCCGAGTGCCTCTGAATACATGTTTATTTTGCAGGAAATGCTGCCTGGGCGATGGCTACTTCCAAACCTGATATTTTGATTATACTTTTACAGAAATTGATGGAGGAAGGAAACGTGATGTACAAAGTAAGTGGTATTGCCCTTTTCTGGGATGCCGTGACAGCCTGCAAGCAGCCTCTTAGCTGGGGGCGTACCGGATATAGTTGTACTGTTACACAGGATGCATGGAGCTCAGCGAGTAGACGTTCTGGGAGGTGCCATCCTGGCCTCAAGCCTGGGCTTTGATATCTTAACAGCAGAATCTTCCAGGTGGAACGCACTACTCTTTGTGTCTGGGAACCATTATTTCTGAACAAATCCTTGCAGCTGTAACTATGATTTACGGCCTGAAGCCTTGCTTTGGAGGCAGAGTTGCTGCTGGTTTAACGGGCACGTCCTACAGGAAATTCTTTGGCGCCTGGAATCATGAGACATGGGAAAGGAACACTCAGGAGACATTTTCATAAGAAAAAGAATCATGCAATCTCCCAAGCCTTTATTATCTTCATTTTAGTATCTATAAGCCTCTGGAATGTGAAACTGTTTCTGGACAGATTTTTACTTAAGATAGTAATATATAATACTCAGTTACTCAGGAGGCAAATTAATTTTTTTCTCATTTTCCCTTAGAAATGTAAAGACAATTTAAAGAGTAGTGATTTTGACTTTAACAAATTTCACACTGAGACATCCAGTTTAGAGCAGAGGTCAGTACACTTTGCCGGGAGAGAGGAGGGGAGTTACTATGTTAGGCTTTGCTCTGTGGTCCTTTTCACACACAGCCCACCCCCGCCCTGAACTGTGCTCTTGAGGCACAGACTCAGCCAAGATGACACACAGTGGAGCCAGGCCAGGTTTCAAACTGTTTGCAGAAATAGCTAGTAGGCCAGGTTTGGCCCAAAAACCGTAGTTGGCCAACCCCGAGTTTAGAGAGATAGGCCATTTTCATAGATCATCATTCTTTCCAGGTCTCTGATTAGACAGAATTAAAAGATTATGAAAACAAAAAAACTATCAATACATCATGACCATTTTAATCCTTTTTGCCATGAAGCAGCTGCACTTGCTGTGTTTTCCTTTTTTTTTTAATAATAACAAATAAATAGGCGTATAGCATGACCCAGCAGGGTTCCTGGCTTGGAATCAGTTTGAAATTGAGTTCAGAGTGTGTATTGTTGTGGCTTTGAAGTGGTTTTAATATGAATTTTGGTAGGCAATTATGTTAGAAATATCAAGCCATTTTCAACAGACTTCATACCTGCTGCGAGACAGACCCGACAGAGCAAATGGATTTCCTTAGCCTTGAAAATGACGTGCAGTGCTGTGTGGGGTTTTAAAGCCCGTGTTTTAGTTTTTTTTAAAAGAAAAATTATTATTCTACAGCAAGCTCTAGGTTTATCCACAAGACTCTACTTGCCTTGAGAACGCCCTCATTTTTCCATCTGATTTCTGTTACACTTTGCATGAAAGTGTCCTTACATGAGAGATCATTCGTGAAATGTTTGTCGAAAATATATAACGGGGACGATAGTCCAGTGTTTTAAGACTGATAGCTATGGGTTTGGCAATTTACAGATCCCTCCCTATAACCTGGTTCTGGTCACAGACACCTGTGTGGGCAGTGAGGCCACGTGACCCTGCCAGTTTGTGGACTGGTTCTGGCCACAGCCCGTCCTCATCAGGGTCCTTATTCATCTTGCAGCCTCTGAAAAAGATAAATTTCTCTGGTTTTTTATTCCTAGAAAGGGAAGATGAAAGAGGCAGCCCAGAGGTACCAGTACGCCTTAAGGAAGTTTCCTCGAGAAGGATTCGGAGAGGACATGAGACCATTCAATGAGCTAAGAGTTTCCCTCTATCTCAATCTGTCTCGCTGCCGAAGAAAAACAAATGTAAGCCCCTTATTCCAGTCTTTCAGCCATAGACTGTTCTCATGGTGTAGGAAGCCTGCCCTTCCACGCCCTAGTCATGAGACTGCCCGTCTTGTGTTTGCGCTTTTCTATGAGCTTGGTCCACAAGCAGCGGCTTGCCTGGGGTGACTGTCGTTAGATCACGGTGCCCGCCCATCCCCACAGTGTTGAGAGGAGTGCACGTGGGTATGGTTTCTGTGTCTCAGTGATGACGCGCACACGCACACCGCTCCTCCACCTCTGCCCAGCTACATGTGGTCAGAGCTGTCATGCGTGGTCTGTCCCCAGGTTCAGAAGGAAAGGGTGTCATTGTAAAATTCAACACAAATGTGTTACATACAGTCTGCCTAGCATTTATTATGTTTGCTTGAGAGGTAAGCCAGGAACTGGTTAGTTCATAATTAATTAACCGTAGTTAACTGACAGTTAGCTTATAACCTGATTTGTTTCAGTATCACTTTCTTTCTTTTTAACTGCATCCTGCCTCCAAAAAGCCTGTGACCTTCCTGCTTCTGCGCTCATATACTCTTCCTTAGGCATCTGTGCCCCCCAAGGCTGCCCCCACTGCCGACCCCTGGGTGCCGGCTCTCGTTGGCCTTCACTTTGCGGCACTGCTTCCAACACTATTCTCTCTCCAGAGTTCAACGATTTTTGCTTCTCTGTTGGATCCTTCCCATTAGAACATGAATACGCTTTAGCTGTCACCCAAATCCTACAGCAAATACCCTGACTCGCCTTCCCCTTCACCTTGCTCCGAATGTGTCCCAATTCTTTGTCAACCTCTGGAGCAAAACTCCTATTAAAAAGTTGGCGGGGTGGCGGGAGGTTGGTGGTCATCATATTTCAGTGCGGCTTCTGACTTGTGTATTTAAATATTGATACCAGGACTTCGGCATGGCAGAAGAATTTGCTTCCAAGGCCCTTGAGTTGAAACCAAAGTCCTATGAAGCCTTTTATGCCAGGGCGAGAGCCAAGAGAAGTAGCAGGTACCGTCTGGGGTTAGATGGGAGACTAGTGAAGCCTTCTTGTCTTGCTCTGGTCTCGAAGCTTGGGGGCTTCTGATCCATGAGCACCACTCAATGCCTCTCCTTCTTGATACTGAGTAGGTGGCTTCCAGAAGGCACAGCAGTGGAAATCATTAGCAATGGCTAAACTTTTACTTTCTCTAGACATCTCTTAACTGTCCCTCCCCTCCGCCAGCTGACCTGTACTGCAACATCAAGTTCCTAGCTTAGCCAGCGTTACCAGTGAGACAGCCAGCCAGAGGCACGGAGAGGAGGCAGTGGGGAGGGGGCGGAGTCAGTAGGACTTGAGTTGCTTGGGGTGGGGCGGGGGAGGTGATGTGCAGAGGATTCTAACCCCCTGCTTCATGCTGAGCTCACCCCCACCAAATGGTCTTTGTAGAGACGCTGGGGCCCTGGGATTGCACGGGTCTGGGTTAGAATCTGGTGCTCCCACTTAGCTGAGTGAGTCTAAGTTAGTTCCATGGGTCTCGTCCACACAAAACCTGCACAGAACTCACTCAGCTACCTTTTCTTTTAAAGCAGAGCTGCTTTATAAACAGTTGCATTCAGAGTTCTTTCTTACGTGACTTGTAATATCTTTTAAAATAAAGGCAGTTCGTGGCTGCCCTGGCTGACTTGCGGGAAGCAGTGAAGCTCTGTCCCGCCAACCAGGAGATCAGGCGGCTCCTGGCCCGCGTGGAGGAGGAGTGTAAGCAGCTCCCGCGGAGCCAGCAGCAGAAGCAGCAGGCCCCCCCGCCTGCCCCACCCACCGACTCGGACAACGACGAGGACGCCCCGACGCCCGGCCTGAACGACCACTTTCACCTTGAGGAGGCTGAAGAGGAGGAGACGTCGCCGCCGGAAGAAGCCGTTTCCCTCGCTCCCAGGCCCCTGCCATCCTCGTCCGCGCCCTCCGCGTACATCCGAAACCTTCAGGAAGGGCTCCAGCCCAAGATAAGGCCCGTGTCGCCGCTGCAGAGTCGGCCGGGGCCTGGCAAGACCCTGAGGGAGGCGGTGGCCCAGCCGGGGCTGACGGTGCAGCCCACCAAGCAGGCGCAGATCGTGAAGACCAGCCAGCACCTGGGCTCCGGGCCCGCGGGCGTGAGAAACGGCAGCTCGAAGACGCAGGTCTCTCCGCTGAATCCTCCCCCGAGCCCCATGCCCGGAAGACTGCCCGCTGCCCCTGCCGGTAGCAGAAGCCTGCATCTGGAGGGAGCAGCCTCTGGCCCCTTCGGCGATCGGCTGGGGCCCAGCCCCGCAGTCCACCTGCCGCACAGTGAGGGCGACGCCTCGTATCCTTTACCAAGCAAGATAAAAACTGCAGAGAGGCTTCTGTCTCATGCTGCCGTGGCTGTGGACGTGGTCCCTGTAAACCCAGGGGGGCCAGTGAGCTGCGCCGACACCCGACACCCGACTTCCCTCAGTAGCTCAGGCTCTTCTGGTTCTCCGTCGAGCAGCATCAAGATGTCAAGCTCCACCAGTAGTTTGGCTTCAAGCAGCAGTTTCTCGGATGGCTTCAAAGTCCAAGGACCAGATGCTCGAATTAAAGACAAGGTTGGTAGCCAGGTTCCGAGTGGCACAGCTGAGCACAGACCTCGCAATACTCCATTCATGGGCATCATGGATAAGACCGCGAGGTTCCAGCAGCAGAACCATCCTCCTGGCCGCACCTGGCACTGTGCGGTGCCAGAGGGGCTGCTGACAAGCGCACCTTCTGCAGCTGGCCTGCAGGCCTCGAACTCTGAGAAGCCCTCTCTCAAGCAAGCCAAAGCCTGCCCTGGGTCTACCCTGGGTGGTGGTGTCCACAACGGGGCCCAGGTGAAGGAGCTAGAAGAAAAGAAGTGCCAAATGCCAGTCCACTGTCAGGACAGCAGAGTAACTAAGACCATTTCACATCTGTATCAGGAAAGTATGTCTAAACAGCAGTCTCATATCAGCAATGAAGCCCACAGGAGTCACCTCCCTTCAGCAAAACCAAAGCGATCATTCATAGAATCAAATGTGTGAGCCTTAAGAGAGACCCATTTGTAGTATTTGGAAGACAGTGTGTTGGTGCCTGGTAACAATTAAATGGTTGTACATGAGAAAAATTACTTTTTAGCCATATATTTTTTCCTCTCTGGAGTGGATCAGATGCCATTGATAAACTCAAAGTGTCGGATTAAATTTGTTTAGTAAATAGAAGTCACCAGAAATAAGAATGCTAACCAGAATTGGAAAACTGCAACTAGCTATGCCTATTAAGTTAAAAGACAGCCAGGAAGACATTAACTCATGCTTTTCTTACGAAATTGTTTGGTTTTTATCACTTTTCTCCTATCATTTGCTATGTAGTTAAGATCACATTATTTCTTAGATAATGTAAATATCTAGTAATAATAGTATAATTCATGACATAATATCCAGGTGATATGTTCTGGAAAAGAGGAAATTTTCAATTTCCAATTGAAACAGTTCCAATAAGTCAAATCTTTATATACATATGTATGTATACATATGGTTGACTCTTGAACAATGCAGGAGTTACGGTCGCCAACCTCTATACAGTCAAAAATCCATGTATAACTTTTACAGTTGGTCCTCTGGAGGGTTCCACATCCTTGTATTCAACCATCCGTGGATCATGTAATACTATAGTACGTACTGATTGAAAAAAAAAGTGGACCTGTACAGTTCAAACCCCTGTTGTTCAAGGGTCAGTGTGTGTGTGTGTATATATGTATATAAAAGACCTGAGTAATTTCGATCTGAATATAAATGTGACTTTACATATTATACAGCTGGTTTGTTTTTTAAGCAAAATACAAGAACATCCAGGTAATGTTCTCTTCATAGCAGTTCCCTTTAAAAAGATCAACTTTTATTTCTGTGTTACAGTTCTCATTAAAATATTTTTATAGCACCTTCTTTTGGAACTACATTCCTGCTTCAATATATTTTTAATATTTGAAAATGATATAAACCATTTGGAATCATGATTGGTAGTTAAGTTGAATTTGGGCTGAAACACTAAGTTTTAGTAGTAGTGTTCTGTATTCTTATTCAGCATTCTCGGTGACATGTAAATTAGCTCTCAACTGATCCCCAAACTGCTTTTATCAATGACAGCACTCCTGGAACAAGCCTTCCAAGGTCCTCTAAGGACATTATTTAATTTGGATACTTAAGGTATGGTTGGCTATTGCTTTTGTTTTATTATACAGTCATTACTTTAGAGCTATATGTTGTATATATGAAATAGCTAAAGTTGTATTCAGACTTGTAAATATAACTATTTCAAGTAGTTAATCTGGAAGTCATATATTTGCATGTGCTTTTTAAGCTTCATCCATGCTGTTTATTGCACTGAGCGATATATAGGGCATGTTAACAGTATCCAAGTAATGGCACTTTATCTCATTTATATGAACACCTCTGAGGTGCTACTTAAGTCCAAACTGATGTATTATTCATTTGTAAAGATAAGGTACAGGAATGATCCTTGAGTTAAAGGTATTTTTGTATGAAAATGATATGCTATTGGAGGATGTTAAAATGCTAGTTTTCAGAGAGGTGGAAGTGTGTTCATTTTATATGTTGGGATGTGAAATTATTTTCTAGAATTGGAGAGAAGGAAGTTCTATATTTACAGACTGTTTTAAAAATGAAGAGTTGTAATGAAGTTCCTGTAAGCATCATCATGGTCTTGTACGAATAGGAATCTTCTGGTGTCATTCTTCAACATTAGTTCCTGTGTACAGTGTACCCTGTATAGTTTTATTGATTTTTTTTTTTAAAGAGGCTTTTCATGAGGTTCTGCTATAACTATTATGGCTTATTTATTGTTTATTGTTTTCTTTAATGTTGTGGAAGTCTTACTCTTTCGTTATGTAGTTTTGTTTCTGCACAACTACTGTACTTGTCTGTCTGGAATAAAGACAATTAATAGTTTGTTTTGCATTAAATCAAACAGTGGCTAAGTAGAGAAGATCCTGATGTCAGCTATCTGCCTCACTTTAAGCCTGGGCGATCGTGTCCCTAAAAAGGGGAAAAGCCTGATTTTAAGTAATACTACAAAAGCATGTTTTAGAACAAGGATAATGGCGTCTAGAAATCCCAAAATATTTCAAGGTCAAGATTAGTCTTTTTGTCTGAAATGAGGAGAATGCATGAGGAGCCTTCTAAACGTCTGTCCCAGAAATCCTGGCATCTGTTTTTTATTGGCAACTTTGGTATCTTCAGTTTTTAGCTCTTACTTTGGCAATACACTGAACACTGTGCTAATGTGAAATTTTGTTCTTCACATGTGTATCACTCTCTGAGTTAAAAGTGTTTATACCCACATATTTCAGTTTCAAAGTCATATATGAATGAGCGTGAACATTAAACTGTTGTGTTAAAATATCCTGACTTGGAATCTTAAGCCTAAACAACTTCAGGTTATTGTATGGTTACTGCTATTATTAGCAAGGCTTAAGGTAAAGTATTTTCAGTCCTTATTTAAAGTCATCTATTTAAACTCAAGGTAAAAAACCAAAACTGGGTAGGAGGGGGAAAATCTATTAACAGAAAATTCTTATTGGATGACTTTTCCTGTGATGCTGCCAGTGTGACTATTAGAATTTACTATACTTTGTGATTTTGATGGATTCTGAGTAAATGTCTTTGGTCCTATAATTCCAGGAAGTGCTGTCTCCTTGGGAAGCTGTTGGTCAGAGCTGAGGACCAAGCAGCGGGGGTGGGTGGGGCTGCTCCTGCCTAGTCCTGCAGGGACAGTGGCCCCTAGTGCAGAGGGGCCGTGTGGTGTCCTTTCCTATGGATGGTTTTGGATTTGATTTTTTGTTTGCCTGTGCTTTGTGGGTAAGAGTAGTTAGCTTTGGTTTATTTGTATAGAAAAACAGAACACTTCACTTTGGTAAACTGGCATCTTAGTTTTCAGCCACTTAACTAGAAACTATCCTGGTGAAACGTAGGAAAAGAAAATCACCTTTTTTAAAACATTTAAAAAATAACATCTTTTATTGTTTTCTGTCAGTGACACCAATGATTTCTAGTAATTTTTATGTGAAAACCAGCTAGCCCTTTTGAAAAATAAGTATTATTTTATCAAAACACAAGATACCTGGTCCAATGGTGAGAGCACTACCAGTTTTAACAAGTCTTTTGATGGAATATATACTTACATTGCTTTTTTATTTGTGTTTTCAAATTTCAGAACAATTACAATGAGGGTTTGGGGGTAAGTACAAAGTCCTGGTCCCTCCTGCCCTTAAGAGTTGATTTAGTTTTAGCAAGCTTTGCACTAATGGCTTCCATTCTGGTGAACAACTTATGAGAGGCAGTACAACCTTCACTTACAGAATCTGAAGTCTTCTGAGTAAATGTTCGTCAGGGTGCTTGTATTAGCTATCAGCCTATTGTGTACAAACGTATGGTCACCTTAGCTTAAACTATGATGTGAGAACTTTTTAAGAACTCTATATCCTAAAAGGAGGCTAGTTTGCCACTTTATATGTTTCAGTAACGTCAACTTAATGTATCTGTGATAATTTATGCGATCTAATTTGTACCTAGGTTTGGACGGGGGGGGGAATCATTACTACCTTGCAAACTCAGAAGCTAAAAAAACTGCTCAGTATATATATCAAAGTGATTTTCTCAATTTATTCATAAACAAATCTACAATTATTTTGCTAAAATCTCTTTAGAAGGATTCCAGAGAGTTATCAAATGAAATGTTATTAACTAGGATTTAATTATGTTCCAGTCTAGGTTATTCTGATCTTTGGTTATAATGGGATATGATCTATAATAAAGAATAAACTTGAGCATTGCAATTTGAAGTCAAAGTAAAACTTTCTCTATAGGTTAAGACTTTATTCACTATTATATGAAAAGGCTTTTTAATAGGTAATTAAATTTACAAAGTTTACCTTTAAATCACTCAAGTGAGATCACAGAAAATATAAATAACACAATATAGAGAGTTTTATTTTTGATGTGTCTCGCTTAGCCATCGATCAATGGCCATTTTCAGAGTCCTATTTGGTATAAGTATCACTGAAGAAAGAACAAGATTTGTCATGGGACTGGTACGTTTCTTTTTGCTGATCCAATTTTCCATTGCTTCCTTTTCATATGAGTAGCCATCTAAAAAAAAAAAAGCCACATACACAAATTATTTGCAATGTAGGAAAGGGAAGTTAGGATCACTAAAATGGTTTTAAAAATTGCACTGCCAAGGCCTTTACCATGATTTAAGTGGTATTCTTGTCTTGCACCACTGCTCCCAAAATATTTCTGCAATGACATCCTAAATTCTACCATTAAGATATATTAAGATTGCACAAATTACCTTGAACAGTGTCAAAAAAAAAAAAAAAACTGGAAAAGGGAACTTCTGTTAAAAATTCAGATGTAGCACCAAGGGAGAAAGGAAATGAATCAGGTAGAAGAGAGGAGAGTGGTGGTAAAGCGACAAGGTCCAGCTGTTGCCAGCAATTCTGTGTATCAGTTGATGTGGCTACAGATGGGAGCAAAGAGTTTTAGGGAAGACTCAGCCTAACTTTCCAACACACTGAAAAGTCAGGGAAACAAGATAGCAAGAGATTATAGAGTGCACCCTACTATGGACTTGATAGTACAGGCATTTACACTGCCAAAAGGAAAAAAAGATCCACTGCCTAAGGATTTTAATACCAAGTCCTTACAAACTTATTTGTACATGTAAAGGTTGAAGGTTTTGTGTCAGTATTTTTATACTTGTAGCTATTTCAAACTGAAAATCTTAGTTCCTAGTTACATTTACACAGTAACCTATTTGTTTTAATCTGCAATGCATACAACTGTTGCAAACTAACAATGCCAATGTGTTACTAACAAAAGACTGTTAAGGATTTTGAAGATTTCTTTCTGTCACCATGATAGATTGACTTGTTTAGTCACTAAGTTGTGTCCGACTCTTTTTGTAACCCCATAGACTGTACCCACCGGTCCCAAACTCCTCACTCAGTCCATGGGATTCTCCAGGCAAGAATACTGGATTGGGTAGGCTATCCCTGCTCCAGGGGATCTTCCTGGATCAGGAATCAAACCCGTGTCTCCTGCACTGGCAGGTCAATTCTTTACCACTGAGCCACAAGGGAAGCCCCAATTGATCCACTAGGGCTGTCTAACTGAAACTGTGTTTGAGAATCACTTGAAAAACTTTTTTTCTGATTATGTTACTGGACAGATAATGTGGTTCATTTACTTCTTTTTATCCTCCCAATAATTAGAGACTGGTTTGCTTTTCATGATGTATTTTTAATATTTAAGTGTCTTCAAAGTAAAACTGTAAGAACAAGTCACATCAAGAAGAGTCTGTATCTCTCCAACCCATGTAATCTCTCTTCCCATGCAGGTAACCAGGTAAGTTATTGTTTACCTTTTCCTTTTGAAAATATAAGCAAATGTGTGTGTCCACACACATACATATATTCTTGCACATACTCTTATTCCTCTATATTCTTACATAAAAGTTAGCATGCTCCATACTATTCTATACCTGATTGGCTTTTTAACTTAACGATACTTTGCTTTTTTATTCCCCCACATCCCTGTATGGATGTATTAATGAACATCTGGGTTATTTCCAGTGCCTTTTACAAATAGTGCTGCAATGAACAGTCTTACCATTTGGAAGGGAATTTTAGCAGTAGAATTTGCTGCACTGAAGAGTAAATTTATATAATTTAGCTAGAAATGCTCATACTTTCATAGGAATTCTACCATTTTCCCCCCACTAGCAACACTGATCAGAGTTCCTGAATTTTCCCCAAAGCCCAGCCAAGAGACTATGTTGTCAAACTGAGTTTTTACCAGTTTCTAGTGGGCATTTTAAGGGAGCTAGAACTTTTTTTTCATCTGTTTAAGAACCATTTGCTTTTCTTTTTCCTGTGAACTGACCATATTTTTTACTATTTTTTCTATTAGGTTGCTCTTTCTTAATTTCAGATTTATTTTTGAGATATAACTGACATAAGCTTCAGGTATGCAACATAGTAATTATTTGTGTTCTTGTTTCTCAAGATTGCTTTGGTCATTTGGAGTCGTTTAGTGTTTCATACACATTTTAAAATTGTTCTAATTCTGTGAAAAATACCGTTGCAACTTTGTAGACTGCTTAGGTAGTAGGGACAGTTTAATGACACTATCCATGAGCACAGAGTGTTTTTCCGTTTGTGTCTTCAGTTAATGTCTTGTAGTTTTCAGTGTATAGATCTCTTACTTCCCAAGTTAAATTCTTAGGTATTTCATTCTTTTTGATGCAGTTGCAAATAGGATTGTTTTCTTAATTTCTCTAATTGCTTGTTACTAGTATACGGAAACACAACTGGTGACTGTGTAACTTTATTGAATTGGTTGATTAGTTAAAATAGTTTTTTTGTGAACTCTTTAGGGTTTTCTATGTATGTCATCTTCAAGTTTTACTTCTTTTCCAATTTGGATGCCTTTTCTTTTTCTTGACTAAATGCATGGGCAAGGACTTCCAATACTGTGTTGAATAAAAGTGGTGAGGGTCTGCATCCTTGTCCTACATCTTTAAAGGAAGCCATTTCAGCTTTTTACTATCGAGTATGAGGTGAGCTATGGGCGTGTCATATATAACCTTTATGATTTTAAGGTAATGGCTCTCTATGCCTACTTTAAAGTTTTTATCATAAATGGATATTAAATTTGGGAGATACTTTTCTGCATCTATTGAGATGTTCATATGATTTTTATCCTTCATTTTCTTAATGTGATGCATCACATTGATTTACAGATGCTGAATAATTCTTGCATCCCTAGAATAAATCCACTTGATCATGGTGTATGATTCTTTTAATGTATGGTTTAATTTGGCTTGCTGATATTTTGTTGAGGATTTTTGCACCTATGGTTATCAAGGATATTGACCTGAAATTTCCTTTTCTTGTGTGTTCTCATCTGGTTTTGTTATCAGGGTAATGCTGGCTCATAAAATGAGTTTGTAAGTGTTCTCTCTTCTGTCATTTGGACGAGTTTGACAGGGATTGATATTTTTCTTGAAGTGTTCATATGCTGTAGATGAAATAAAGATTTAAATTTTTATACTTCTTTTGGCTTTTGAATCCAGGTTAGGAAATAGTCCTACTCCCAGGTTATCAAGGGTTCAAGTACCTTCATTTTCTTCTGTAAAAGAACCTGTAAAGGTTTTTTTTTTTAATATATGTCTGATTCATTTGGAATTAACTTAATGTGTAGTATGACAGATTGAGCTAGTTTTATCCTTTCTATATGACTAGCTGTCAGAATACCACTTGTTTAAATTCTTTATTTTTCCCACTGATTTACAATTTCATTTTTATCATTCACTAAACTTCTGGATTTAAAAAAATTCTTTTCCATTAGTCTGTCTATTCATGTGCTGATACCATACTGTGTTCTTTATAGAGACTTTATAACATGTTCTAATATCTGATAGGGCTCATTGTTATGTATTCTTTGCATTGGAACCTACTAGTCACCTGCTATGTATTTCTTGGAAAAAGCCTAATAGTGACATCCTGCTGACGATGAATCTTCCTACATTGGTATACTAATAAGCTTTCCATGTTTTCCAATGTAGCTTTCCATCACAGGGATGTTTTATGGTTTTCTTCATGCTAGTTCGCCTATTTCTATGCCTATTTCTAATATCCAATGTTTTGATTTGTTTTTGTCAATTAAGTCTTCCATCATACCTTTTAACTGCTTTTTGTTTACACACAGAGGCACACATACCACATGAAGGCTGTATTATTGAGTCCTTGCTGATTTACTTACTAAATGCTGATTACCCGCATTGGCTCCTTGTTAAAATTCTATAAGATTCATCTAGAAGGGACAAAAGAAGGGTGAAGGCACCTATCAGTGTTGTGCCTGGTTGTGGACCTTTATTTGGTAGGGGTATACTCCACAAATTTTTTTCTTTGCTTCATTGTAGGTACTGCTCAAATCTGTCTTGCTTTCTTCCCTTTAGAGAGAAGGGCACCAGCTGGGTAGTTCCTCCTCCTTAGAAGCCAGAGTTATGAGAGGCAGTATGAGGTTTTAATAACCTCAACTTATTCCCTCTCAGTCCAAGAGGACATAGATGCTTTCTGCAGATACTGTTACCACCTTTTGTTTTTGAGATATAATCCACATACCATAAAATCCACCCTTTTAAATATATACACTTCAGGGATTCTTAGTGTAATTCACAATTATGCAACCATCACCACTATCTAATTTCACATTTTCATCACTCCTCTCCCCCAGTGACTACTAATTATTCTCTGTCTCTATGGATTTGCCTATTCTGGACATTTCTTACAAAAAGAATCATAACGTGGCATTTGTTATCTGGCACATCCTTGCCATCTTCCATCTTTTTTTATTTTAATCATCCTAGTGGATATGAAGGTGGTATCTCATTGTGGTTTTGGTGTTCACTTCCCTAATGATGCTGAGCACCTTTTCCAGTGGCTGTTGGCCATTTGTATATCTTTTCTGGGAAAAGGTCAATTCAAATCCTTCGCCTGTTTTTATCAGTTGGGATGTCTTACTGTTGAGTTGTAAAAGCTGTTTGCATAGGAAAATATACTCAATTTTTATTTCTCAAAAGCTGATATACAAACTTATGTCTCACACTGATAAATGATGTGCGTGTTAGTATTACTCTGAAATACTGTAACTTGAGCGACAGCCAATTTATTTGCCACTAGGCCAGAGACATATGATAACAGCATGTTTTTAACCTTCCAGGTGAAAGGGGCCCACTTTTGTTATTGTTTACATTCCACTGTGGTGACACATGCCATTTTTGTTATTTCTGGTGATATATTCAAAAGCAAGCAAAATACTTCCTATTTTGGACTGAGAGGTGCGAGCAAGTCTCTTACCATGCAGTATTTGGGGCTGTGTAGCTGATGGCGGTTTATCCTTATGGAGAACCATGGTCTCCAGTGTTCTATATCATCCTGTGTCATTTTAACTTTTCGGGGTCTGAACTCTTTCGCAGGCAACTATATAACCCCTTTATTTTTAGTTGCAACTATCTCATTTCTGTCTATCCTTTTATTTCTAATCTCTCTGAATCCTTGTTTTAGGTTGAATTGTGCTTTGTG